TCTAAGAAATCAACACTTTCATGTAGAGGATATTACTGATCAGGTATAAGCACGACTTAAAAGAATTCACTTTTTACTAGTAAAGTGAATAAACAGAAGTCTAAATCAGGGGTTTGCTGTCTTGCTGAGCACCTACAAATGTTAGATAGGAATTTATTTGTAGGCATATGATTGAAATATATATATGCTGAGAGTAATAATTCATTTTTCTGGTTGTCATATTTTAGACAATCTGAATATTTTGAAACATATCTGTGAACTTAAAAATGACTCACAAGAAGGATTCAAACCCTTCTGCTTGACATTAACTTTTTCCTTTTCCTGATCTGAGAAGCTCCTAGTCATCCTTTAAGACCTAGCTTAAATGCCACCTATCCTGAAGGATCTTTCCTAATCACCCCCAGAACAAACCCTCCTGTCCCTGGGTTGGATAGATGCCCTCTACATCAAGCCATACTATTCATTTCTGTGTCCATATGTTTTCTAAGGCTGTGAATGACTTAGGAGTAGGCTCAAGGGTGAGGTTCTCACTCCCATCTTTGCAATTCCTAGCACCTTAATCCACTGATGGCCTCTACTAGTTGACTCCAGCCACCCTGGGATTTGGTGACTCAGAAATCACTGGTGTATCCCCACCTGCCACAATACCATTGTGGCCAATCCTTTGTTGCCAGCCATGCTGGGACCCTAGGTGTTGGGGAGAGTGTTAGATGGCTATGTAGCTTCCTGAGTCCTAAAACACTGTAGTGGCTCAGGATGTGGGACTGTGCTCCTGCCTTTCTACTTTGACTTACACACCTAGGCTGCAGTCGACCTAGGTGCCTTGAGTGGAAGCCTAAATTCTCTCTAGGCTTGTAGCCTGTCCTCACTGTGCCTTGCTCAACTTGGGCTATCAAATAGCTGGAACTTTTGATAACTATCTGCTCAGTGAATGCAAACAAGCCCACCCATCTTACTTCATTAAAGAGAGGTACAAGTCTCTATCTTCCTTCTCAGATGAGCTTTGACCTTACACATACCACTTAGATTTCTTTTTCTTTTCCTTTCTTTCTTTTTTTTTTTTTTTTTTTTTTTACCACTTGGATTTCTGATTTCATTTGGTACCTGCTAGTTTTGCTAGGGTCACTATTAGGAGAGCAAAGACCGAACACAGATGGTTAGATCAGTGCGGCAGCAGGGAATCACTGTCAAGAATGAAATAACCAAAGAAACCAGAGATGATCACAGGAGAGAACATAGGAAAGCACCAAGCAGAGCAGCATAGCCAGGGCAGCCCAGGTGGCTCGGCGGTTTAGCACATCCCAGGGCGGGATCCTGGAGACCCGGGATGGAGTCCCACGTCAGGCTCCCTGCATGGAGCCTCCTTCTCCTTCTGCCTGTGCCTCTGCCTTTCTCTTTCTCTGTGTGTGTCTCTCATGAATAAATAAATAAAATCTTAAAAAAAAAAAAAAGAGCAGCACAGCCATGTAAGGGCAATTTAGCCTGGGGACAAATGGCTTTGTACACCTCAAGAGGCCCAAGCATATCATTGAGTGCCAAGGCCAAACACAGACAAAAGGGTTGGTAAAATTCAGTGAAAGAATAAGGTAAGCCCACAGTTTTATTGCCCTAGAGGGCATCAATACATCAAAGTTTAGTTTGGTATCATGTTCAAAACAAGGACCTGAGTCATCAAGGAAAGGTTAAATGATACTCATTATACACTGTCAACAGGCTGCCAAGAGCAGATGCATTTTAGAAACACTTCTTTCCAAAAATGAAAATTTCTCATTGATGTCAGAGCTTAAAGTGGTAAATCTCAGTTATCTAGACAATAGGAGCTATCTTATTCCCCAAAGATATCAGATGGCTAAGGCATCATGGCATACATAGAAACTTATCACGTAATAACTAATCAAGTACTTCATATCACAGGTATTCAGGGCTTGGAGAGGCCCTGATTATGTAACAGTTTTAAAATAAGAAGTTCTTTTGAGAGAAGCAAGTCGAGGCATTGACGGTATTAAGATATCACTCATATCCTGAGTTAGCCAGCTCTAAGCCAGATGAACTCTGCATACCAAAATTAAGCTGGATTGTCCTGATTTCTGATTGGAGCTTGATTCTCTCGTTACCTTGACTATCCTTTCAGTTCCTGATCTGTAGTCCAAATTTCATGTTCGTGATTGTTACTTGTGTTTAACTTTTGGTATCTTCTGTTTGGACATCTGGTAGCTCTGTTCCACAATTCCACTTCCTAACTCCCACACTGGCTCTGACATTCACCTCTGGCCACTTTAGGGCTGGCTCCTGCCCACCTGGTCTTGTTTTATTGTTTTTTCATTGTTTACTAGGCCATGACAGGAGGTCAAGAGGCATCCACATAATAATGAAGTATGTAATACTGGGCTTTACTTGGCCATTTTATCTATGACTCTGAATACACCCATCATGTTTGAACTAAGCTCCCTTATGGTGGTACTTTTTTTTTTTAAGATTTTATATATTTATTCACGAGAGACAGAGAGAGAGAGAGAGAGAGAGAGAGAGAGAGAGAGAGAGAGGGAGGGAGAGAGAGAGAAGAGAAGAGAGAGAGGGAGGGAGGCAGAGACACAGGTAGAGGGAGAGCAGGTTCCACGCAGGGAGCCCGACATGGGACTCGATCCCAGGTCTCCAGGATCACACCCCGGGCTGCATGCAGGCAGTGCTCTACCGCTGTGCCACCAGGGCTGCCCACAGGTGGTACTTTTTGATCTGACTTTTCTCTATCGGAAACCGTATATACCATCATTGGATACACATTTCAAAACGGGGTGTATCTCATACCCAAGGAGTAACATGGCCCAAATCCTAGCTGGTTATATTCACGCAGGAAGAGAAGCCCTAAAAGTCAGGTACAAATGAATATAGAGGGCTCACAGCCCTCTGGGATCTAAAAGGGCAGATTTTGCCCTGAAAGACATTACAGAAGAGGTTCTCAAATCTGAATGTCAGAGAGTTACCTGGGAAACTGGTAAAATGTAGATTCCCGGGTTCCATCCCTTGAGAGTTTAATTCAGTGATCTGGGTCCAAGAATCTAATGCAGTTAGTCCTGAGACCACCCTTTGATAAACACTGTACCACGGCAATGAGAAATCCGACAAACATGGGACAAGCACAGTAATTAACACCTCCCCCAGCCCCTGCCATCCTTTCTTTCTTAAAAGCCATGATGCCCTTTGCATAAGGCAAGTCATCTGGCCAATTCTTTCCTAATACTCATCACTGAACAGAGCTCAGTTTTAAGATCAATTTATGTTTGTTTTACTAAATACAATGTGAATTTCCCATGTTTCCATAAAGAAGATATTTTACTATATCTTTTGAAGAAGTGGGAAGAAATGTCTAAGTCATATTTTTCTCTCAACTGAGGAAGAAATGCTATAAAGAAAAACAAACTGTTGAAGTTAAACGCTATTGTCCTCCCCACCTCAGAACAACATCTCCTTAGGATAATTTAAAAAATATCAGGATTTTGCCCAAATCAAGAAAGTAAAATATTTAAAATTTAACAGCAATCACTACTACCTTAAATAAGGAACAAAAACATCTATTGGATTGAGAAAAACCTTCAAATTAGCTCTCCAGCAAAATATATACTGCTGGTGAGTAGTATCTGTACCTGAATGTTCTGATGCCCAGGAGCCTGGCAGACCAAGAACAGGAGAGTCCAGAAAACCTGGCAGGCTGTGCATTTGACTGAGTAAGCCAAGTTTCCCTGGGCATGGCCCTAAGCAACCCTGGAGGGGGACCTCAGGAAAATCAGCTTAATTGGGAGGATTCTGATGGGGATAGGATGCTTTTGGAATCTAAGATGACAGAAGATATTGATGAGCTATTAGATCCAGGGGGCCTGCCTGATATTTGAGATAATGGGACCTCCATTTGTTTCAGGACGATGCCTTCATTTTTGCACTAACATGGTTTATGGCTTGCAGGGGATATATGGACTGACGGATGCAACCATTAAGGATGTTAGAGCCCCACTCTTACTATTATTGTGATATGTGCGCATGTTTGTTTTTTTCCTAGGAGGATCTTTATATTTTCTCCCAAATCTCATAACTGGTTATACAGATGTTTAATTGAGAGGAATAATTATGAATTACGATTTGTTTTTTTCTTTCAAACTTTCCTATCTGAATCATTTATCGCCTTCATTACAAGTGTTTTAAATATTGTAAAATTAAAGTTTAAAAAATATACATTGCTGGTAGGCAAGCCCAAGCCCAGAAAAAGTGTTTTTTTTTTAAATTAGTGTTTCTTGATTGAGAGCTTTGTGCAGTATAAGCCTTTAAAACGGACTTTACATTCAGAATAAGAAGTAGAAAAAGTAGATTGAGAAAGAAATGCAGGTAGATTAATTCCATGAAGGCAAAAGGACAAAGGAACTCAATGGATAAGGATGATCAGAGGTAGGATGATTTAAAATGTGAGGATTCTAGTTTAAGGCACAAGAAGTTAGGGATGTATTCTGGGGGAAAATGGCTAATTAGGAAACTAAAGCTGAACCATTGACCTAGAGCTTTGGAACATTTTTATCACCCTGCTATGCTTTGGGTAAATAAAGCAAGGAAGACAAATTTTATCCAGCTTATGTCTGCTGTTCAACTCTGACCCCTGTCTACTGGAATGACTTTAAATACCTGCTATGGAAAAAAAAATGATACCACTTTAATTTCCGGCTCCATCCCCATCTGGCTAGGGAGACGATGAATTAATATTATCCTGTTTTGTCTTTAGGGCTTCCGATACCCCTGAGGACCAGCCTGTGGGACAGTCTGTTTGGGCAGGGATTCTGGGCCACAATCAGAAGAGTGGGATTCAGGACAAGGCCAGTCCACGTAACACAGCTCAGAGCCATACAACACAACTTGCTCCAAGGATGTTGGGCATTGTGCTTCATTAGGAAACAAAATATAAGCTTTCCACACCATTAGGAATGACTTTAGGAGTGAAAGCACATAAGACGATGCCTCAC